TTTATAACAACCAAAATGCTCAACTTCTGAGTTCTTTAACACTGTTCTCTGGTTAAACTTTTATTAAAAACGGTTTACCTGCTGCCATTTATTCAATTTGCTGAAATTTTCTAATACAAGTAGGTTTTTAACTTGATTAGACTCTGCATTGCCCCTTTTCTGATACAGAATTGTGTCAGTAAGACATTTCTGGAACAAAGTACTGTTTTTCAAGCATCCCTTTGACGTGACGATTTCCACTGATGTTTTTTTTTTCTCTAGAGATCTGTGTAGATTCCTGTAAGTGAATACAACTGATATACAAATGCTGCCTGTTGACTCATTGTATTGGGAAACTTTCAGCAGGTGGAGAAAGTGTCGTCTAATAAATAAAATATTAACACTCGAATAAATTTCTTTTCACATAAATATGACTTTTTAAGTATTACAGTGTTATGATATGATGAGAGATGAGGCCTCCTGGCCATCAGCAAGTCATGGTCCTTGATACTTCAGGTACCTAAATAAGACCAGAAAAGGTTTACCCAGACAGTGGATGTTCTCAGGTTTTTATAGTTTCATAAGTGTAGCCTGTTAGGGATTGTGCCCAGAATTCAAACTATGTCCCTGCCCAGCCTGAACGCATTCAAAGTCAAGCCTTGTTTGTTCCGTTCAGATTTGTGTTATGTTGGTGGTGTTTTCCCTAAGTGTTCTACACAAGGATTTCTCCCTCTTTAGGGTTATGTTAGCGGTTTGAAAAGTGTAGTCTAGTAGTAAATAAATGCTACGGTCTTGACATAATTCTTAGGAAGAATGCACTTAGCACCTTCTTTGGTGATGCCATGCTGTCATCACTTCTGTTGACTTCTGTTGCTTTACACAGCTTCAGCTATAGTTTAAACAGGATCTTGGGTGTGTATTGTGTAACTGCAGCATTTTTTTTTAATGCAAAATGACATAATGTGATTTTTTTTTTTTTCAGTTTTAAGTATGCATAGGGCAAGAATGGACAATACGACTGTCTATTGGCAAATACTATGGATCACTTGGAACTTAACGTTTAAATCCTGTTTATTGTGGAATGTCATCTAAAACCAAATTGTTATTTAGTAGTATTTGTTTACTTTAGCTGTTTTGTTAGGAGTTCCGTTTTATAGTGCAAGAGAAACCTGTGTTGGTGCTGCTGTGTGGAGTCTGTTATATTAGAACATGCCAGCAAATGAATCAGTGTTATGGAAACAAGAACCAGACATGTAAGGACTAGTTTTCTGGCTATTTCTTTTCAGGAAATTTGCCTGCTACTTTTGGTTAATTTGTTTCCTAATTCTTTATTTTTAGAAATCTCATACAAATTAGACCTATTTAACTCAAAACCAAACCCTGTTGCTAACTTGATTTTTCTAGTGGCCTCTGAAGCCCCTGTTTTACCTAAATACATAACAAATCTTGTGGTTTTACTTGCCTTCCCTGAGAGTAGCCCCAGGCTACATTCCGTGACTCAAAGGGGATGCTGAGGATTTCTTGTGTTATTCTTTTTTTTAAATATTATTTCAGAATTGTGGTTAGTGTAGGTGTATTAGAGAGGAGGGAGAATCTGGATTTTTGCAACTATTTAGCTGCTATGTCTTATTTACAAAATCAGTCACTAGTATAAGTAGGCTTCTAATAAAGCAAGAGTGGAAATCTATAAGCCTGATTCCTACTTGTCTTTGGTGAACACCTTCCTAGTTAACAGTTCTGTAAGCTAGGTCAACATTAGTCCCAAAATATGTGAAGATATATTTGATACGGCCTAAAGACAAAAGGTTGTTTATTAACAAAAGGCCTTCACAAGTCGTGCAGTTCAGTTTTAAAAACAAAACGAGAACAACCAACAAAAAAAGACCAAAAGAAGCACTAAAAACCCACCCCACTGCACCCCCCCAAAAAAACCCCACCGTGTCTTACTCTAATAATCTATCACTTGTTATTTGTTGTAGATCTTGATTTTGAAATACCAATTAAAAGTTCAAAGAATGTGGACTTAAATTCTTCTTCCATCCCACATGAACAGTTAATAATCCTGTTGAAAAGATTGCATAAGTATTGCTGGTTATAGTTCAGATTAGCAGAACAGACATGAAGGCAGTGTTAAGTATTTTATTACTAATTTGGCCTAACAAGGCACAAACATTGATCATAATCCCATTATTGTAATCCACATATTTTCTTAGAAGTTAAGAACTGCCCTTAAAACACAGGGAGGGCTCTTCTGAACAGTATGTAACTAGTCTGTTGAACTTAATCCTTGTCTTTTTATTATCAAAGTGTTTATGTTAGGGCCAGGAACTGGATTTACTTTTCATCCTGTTTTAGGAGTCTGATTGCAGAAACTACTCCAAATGTTTCTCCACAAGGTACAATGGAATTCATAACTTATTTGAAATAATTGCTTTATATCAGTTTTCTACCAGTGTCCTAGTTGTAGTGAGAAACAGCAGCGAGGAAGGACTTCAGTGTCTCATTTTTGTGACAGAGGTTTACCATGTTGTGGCTTTTTTTTCATTAAGACGCTGCCTCTTTTCACTTTAAATGTACATTTGTAGGAAATGAAGAACCTTTGTTTTATTGCGTTTTCTGTAAACTTATCTTTGCCTAGTTATTCGTTTACTTACTGTAATGCACGATGAAGCGAGTATTTTAGGGTGTATTTGGAGATAATTGAGTTGGCAGATGCTGACCCCGATTTGAAGTAGATGTCTATTTTAGAACCATATCTCTGCCAAATAGTTGAATTAACTGCCTGAAGTCTGGTGTAAGTTATCTTGATTAGATGGGAGATTTAAATGGTGTATGTCCATTTGAATCAGCTGCTGTTTCAGAAGAAAGATCTCTTAAAATTGACAATTCAATTTTTCAATTTCCCAGCTTTGTAGTAATAAGTTGAGTGATGTCATAAGATGTTCTGTATTAAACTATTGCTACTTTTAAAAATAAAGCCACCTCAAAATAGGTTTGGTGCAAATACAGTGCGATTCCAGATAATTCCCCCTCTCCTTCATTTTCTCTTCCTACTCCTTTTTGCTTTGGAAAGATGCTTTCTTCACTGTGCTGTGATACTGTTGAAGATTGAAGGTAATTGGCAGTCCCCCAGCTGCCAAAAAATTGGAAACCTTCAAAGTGAAAGCATCCAATGAACATAATTCCAGCAGTGGGAGAGAGAAAACTGACTGAAATTAAGATTTTAATTCATCGTTTACATCCTTCAACAGAAAATGGTTGTACAATCTATAAATATTAAAAAAAAGTAAAATCTTACTTAATTATGAAGGAAATTCAACTGGTCTTTTTATTAATGAACAGTTCATAAAAGCAGAGAACAAACTGAAAAGATACATCTAATACTATATATAAACTTTATAGTCACTTTAAAAGAAATTAGAACAAAATTTTACCCTAGAGAGTTTTTTAGATGTGTATTGTGCATTTACAATCATTTGTGTGTATGTGCAGGTCCTGAATATTCAATAGCAATAAAAGCAAGATCAAATTTCCATTTGATAGGCTGTTTCCATCATTGGTATTCACAATTGTGTGATCACACAACCACATATGCATCTCGTATCTGCCAAAAAGAAGATGGTTTGAAAATCTGCATCACTAAATTTACTTTAAGATGCCATTATGCATCTCTAAGATGCCTTTTAAAGAAGCTACTGTTTTGGTATGGTTCAGGTGTCAGTTAACATTCTGGTAGGAAAGTGAATTTTTAAAAAAGATATTTTCAAGTGATACTTTGGAACCCACATTTGGATGCAACCCCTTTCTTTGTACTACACTGATAGTAAAGGAACACGAGACACTGATATCCCCAGAGAGGGAGCAAGTCCAAAGCTAAGTTAATGGAGGAACCTTGAAGCAGTAAAATGGCTATTTAAAATAATATATTATTTTTCTTTAAAATATTTCTACTGCAAAGAAAAGGGGCAGGGGGAGAAATAGGAATATATACATTAACTATTTTAAAGGTCGTGGGCTGTCCTGGATGCAAAAAAGCCAATTTGAAATAAGTTACCTGAGCCACTCAAAATCAGAATAAAAGTATTTAGTCCAAATTTAAAAGACCTCAGAGGTAGCCAAGAAAAGTCCACTGTTGATAAAAGTGGTGCACACAGCGGTGTGTGTATTTAAGTCACTAGGCTGCTGCTATTCTTTCTAAGTCAATTCAAAGTTCTTCGATCGATAGCCAGAAATACAATTACGTATTGCACACACCCCTCTTGGAGTCAAAGTGCACCTTTTGTATGCAAAAAAAAGAATGGGCTTCTGGTTGTGTTTTACACTTTTCTTACAGATTCAACAAAATGGAAGCGTTGCATTTTTCGCTGTCTGCTTTGATATCTTGGCTTACAGTTTTTAAGGTTGAAACACAATCTAGCTTTGTATCACTGTATTTCTTTTGTGCACAATATCCTTTTACACTGTAAAAGAATAAATTCTACAAATACTTTTGAGTTAAGTGGTACAGAGTTAAGTAAGATACAGATGTCTGTATAGTCCCTGAAGATCCTCACTAACTTGGAAAGTCAGTGAAAACCTACCAATCGTTTGCTACCTTTATGTAAGAATTACCGAGAAGTAGTGTTTCATTGAAGAAAAAAAAAAAAAATCTGGACAGTCAAATAAGTATAACATGCAGTAGAATCGTGAGTTAAAATCCAAATGCCACCAAACAGTATTGGTTATTAAAAATGCCAACAAAATTGTCATTAATGAGATGTTAACCCTTCTTTCAAGAATCCAATATATAGTTGGACTCAATAAAAATGATTGAGAAGCAATTCTTTAAGTGTTACAAAACATTAAAGTCAAAACAACTAAAAAGCCAACTGAACTTGTAGTCAGATTCTAAAAAATGTTTGGAAGTTTTTTTGTTAAATATGCTACCATTTACTGTTCATTACAGTGGTAATGATATGTTACCATTTGCCGATTCTCTTCATGTATAACCTATTTTTCTGATACTGTTTTTACTGTTTCAGGAGTTTTATGAACATACAAAAACACTTTGGCAAGACGAAGGTGTGAAAGCCTGCTATGAGAGATCTAACGAATATCAGCTGATTGATTGTGCACAGTAGTAAGTATTGTCTCTATTCTGCTCTATATTGACGGCAATATGCACTTTTTTTATTGAATGTTAACAATGGTGATTTGGAAGGTCCTGTTGCTTACTTTTCCTTACCTTGGAAAAGGAACGTACGCTACGTAGTGAATTCCTGTTCATCACCTATTCAGAGAGGTAGGAAAAACTGATGTTCATTTAGACACTACCTATACTGAAAACTTTGCAGATGCTTTCAAATGGTCTTAATGTATGCTGACACCTTAATGCAGTGGACAGTTGTATTGTCTCAGAGACCAAACTTCCTGCTTCTTCTGCATAAACCAATTCCTTGCCAAACAACAGTTTCAGATGCTGCAGCAAGTTTTAGTAAGTTGGAAAGTACAGTGGTGTGAAACATGCCCATGTTTGTAGCTTTTGTTTTTAGTGCAGTTTATTTATCTGAAAACAAAGAGATGGCAGCAACAGTCACGGGCAGCAGCCTGTGATCAGTCACCAAGATTTCTGCTTGTGTGCCTTCATGCACATACCTAAGAGTGATTCATTCTCTTCTGCTGTTTATACCGCTGTGGTAATTAGTATTGTCATGAGACACTGCTGCATGTTTGCAGTTATTTAGCATGTACAGTAATATAGTAGAGTTCAGAATTTTTTGTTCATGGCAAGGTGTTTGTGATAATTCCTGCTGTTTTTGTTGTGTGTACTCAAGAATTGCAGGATTTCACTTTGGAATATTAATGGCTAAAACTGTTCTTTGTTAGCTTATACTCTCTCTACTTCTTTTGGAGAAGCTGAAATAAGGTTTAATGGTCAAGGAGACATAGGTTTCTCAATTCATATGATGATGGACAACTGCAGTTTGTCTACTACTGCGTCTCTTAACATTTGATGAAATAAAATTTGTAAGGTTCTTTTTTGTTTGTTTAAGTAGACTTAAACGTAAATCAACAATTAGCTCTGTTTGAATAGAGACCGGGGAGATAATTTTACTATGACTTGCTCAGCTCCAGGTCTTTAGGAGCCTCTTTGAAGTTTTGCCATTGTTTCTAGTGTGAATTTGTTTGATGTGTAGAAATGGCTTTTGTTAGGTGACTAATGTTTGATCATTTGGCATGGATCTTTTTGCAAATTCAGTTGCTACAAAATAAAAAACACTACCAGATTTTAATTTTCTGTCAACTATCCAGTAAATTTTGCCTTTGTAGTGTAAAGAGATACACTGATAGAAATGAGGAAAAAACTAGTGTTTTTGATAGTGTTTGGTTATCGGTATATTTCTGGTTAGTGTTTATTAATAGTCAGCTTCTATGATGGGAAGAAGTAAATATTGTTAAGCACTAAGGGGGTTTTGTGTTGCACTTTTTCAGAAGAGAAACAAGTTTTGTTCTGCCCTGAATGCACAGAAGAAAGCTAAGATTCTTACCACCCCTAATTGGGGGAGGTTGACTTTTTCATGGGTCAGCAAGGGTGATGGCCCTCGTGATGGTTTTACCGTCCTGCTCCATCTAGTGGAACACTTAATTCTACATCATGGGCTGCTGAGGCAAAAATAAACCAGTACATTGCTGACAAATTACAGATATTTTTTTTTCTAAGATGCCATTGCTAAAAATTCTAAAAATTCTTTATAATTCTGATATTTATTCAATTTAATAGTAAAGTATACGACATTATGTTCTTGCAGAAGGAGCTTTCTGATTGTTAGTTTTGGTGGCTCTTGTCCTTTCTGGCATTTTTGATTGTGCTATGGCGTTATTTTTTTAATAACAGAATATGAAAAGTAAGAGTTTTTTAATGGCAAAATGTTTGCTTGGAGATTAATATCACTTTGAAGTTCAGAACTTGTTTTTATCATGTTAAATTTCCAAGCGACCTGACAAAAATTACTTCCTGCAAAATCCGACATGATTGATACCTTAAAGTTAACCTGGTGAGCACACTCTTAAAAAAAAAACCCAAAACAACAAAAAAGCACAAACAACAAAAAACATACAAAACCCAAAACAAAACAAACAACAGTAGCAATGGCAGAATATAAAAAAATGTGGCTGAGATTTATCAAGTGAAGACTATTTTAATTGGAATATGCAAGCCACTGTCATTAGGGCTAATAGAAGCTAGAATGTTGAATGAACTGTATTGGGGTTGTCAGTTATTTCAGAGAGTCTCGGGTTCTAAACGCTTTCCTCTTTTGAAGTCCCTGTTTAAAACAACAAAGGCATACTTAAAGTGGAAGGTGGAACAGTGGCTTTTCTCTTTCAAGATCAATCCAGCTTCCAAAAATCCCTTCTTGCTCTTGAAAGTTGAATAAATTCTCAAAATATTAATGGATTCTTTGTTGGGTAAATTACTTTAAAATTCAAAACAATGTTTCTTGTTCACAAAAATTAAGTTTTTATAGTTGTTTGTAAGATTTTTAGTTTTTTTTAAACTGTCATTTTTTGAAGTGTGAATTGCTTAGTGTAAAGTTTGTTTTGGTATGGGCTCGTTTAGCATTCTGCATTTTTTAAACAAGAAGTTTTTTCACTCTTGGAAGTGACATGGTTATATATAGGAAACTTTGCAAGGAGATTCTGCTGAATGTTTAAAAATCCATTTTGTCGGTCTTTTAGCAGGGAACAGTGAGAGTGTATATCTCACAGGGCTTGCTTTGGCTTTCAGAAATGCTAATATCAAAAATGAAATTCATTTCTGTTTCTGCCAAACCTGCGGGAAATGTATGCAGAGCTTCTTCAGGGATCTTGAAGAGTTCAGGGGCTGCTCTGGATGGCCTGTCCTCAGGGAGTGGCACACTCAGGGCTTGTGGTCTGCTGGTGTGGCAGCTGTTCCAGGCAGCACCCGGCATCCTGCCTGCTGTCTTCTGGGAACTGGCACAAGTCCTTTCTCTCCTCATATTTCCATCTTTTGTTAATGATGATGTGATGGTGGCAGTGAGGTACTGGGAGGGCCATGAGGACTTACTAGCTCTCTTCCGTTTGATACTACCTCTTACAATTCTGCTTTTCATTGATAAGAACTGGTTCTCCATGTGGGCAGCTTAGCTGTAGTCCAACAGAAGGTCCTTTCAGAGTTAAGGATTGTATGGCATAGCTGCAGGATGCTGGAGCATCTTGAAAAGAAAGATGTAGTGGAGATGGAGGCTTAAACTTGTGCAGAGTTTGTGCTGAGGAAAGAAGGGAGCTCGCTGGTGAGTCAGGAGCTCTCTTGGATGAGCAAAGCGGCAGGGGTGGGGGGGAGCCACTTTCGGCTTCTCGTCCTTTCCCAGGAAGGTGGGAATGAATATAATTCTCAATGTGATGTGTTGCATCAAGTTGCCTAACTTGAATGTAGGTGTTCAGAGAGCCTGGCAATGGTGTTTTTCACCTGCTCCTGAGCAGTAACTTAAACCACAATACCGCTGCAATTATTCCGTGTCTCCCCTTAAGAGTTTAACATTAGTATGCGCTTTTGTCGTAGCCCCACCAAGCTCCTGGTTGCATTGGGTCAGAAAAGACGACGTTACCAAAAGCCACAGGTACCATCCTGGCTTTCTGTTTAACTGGAGTTGTGCTCTTTGGAGGTGTGAAGCTGGGAGGCCTGGCCAGTGACCTCAGCTGCTGGAGAGCCCTTCTGGTGTCCTGCCCTTTATCCTCAAGCTCACTGCCTGATGGAAAATGTCACTTCGGAGGAACCCTGCTCATTTTGAAAGAGTAGCTGCCTCTGCTCATCATGAGCTTTACTGTACTTCCTGCCTGGGCATATTTTACAGTCTTGAGAGGCAGAGAAAGGAAAGGAGACTGTTTCCCTTTTCTTAACTGGACTTAACTAAGTAATTAGTTTCAGTTCTGCTTTTAGAATAACATGATCTGCGAGGTTGTCACCAGTTTCTCTCTGAGAGGAATGCATTTTAGCTGTGAGAGGGAGCAATTGCTAAGAGAAGACCAAATTTCATTGCTCTTGTGGGATGTGTACAGAAGAGAACAAATGTTTGTACCGAAGCTGCCGTGTGATACTGCTCTCGGCTGATAATAAACGTAAGAACACAGAAGTGTCTAGAATATAGAAAACCTCAAATGGTGATAAATAAATTCTTTACTATCCTTCATATTTCTTCCCTGAAGGCACAGGATTGCATTTTATTCAGAATATATTACTTAATATTAAGAATATAGGAGCCATTTCCGCTGCAATATGCCGAGGCCTGTTTGTCAAATACGTGCCTTCTGTCAAATGTAAACAAACACGATCTCTTTCCAGTGGTGGTGTTGCTCATACTTCTGCCTCAGTTTTCATTCGAGGAGCTCTGTTCTTAAAGCCTCACAAATGCACAGCAGAACAGTCTGAGTTAGGATCTCCACATGCAAATGCGCTGTTTGTGGCACGAGGACATGAAGGATGCCAGCACCCTCCTGGAAAGTCTGAGCCAAAGTCTGTGGATTGTCCTGAAGAAAACTGCTTTGATGTCAGTAACCTTCACATTAGCTATGTAGCAAATGAAAAGCAAAGCCTGGGTACACACGCATCCTAGTGCTTTTTCTAGACTTGCTGATATTAGGCTGTGCCCACAGATACTTGAATTTTTGCTTCAGTTAGCCGTGGCTTAGTTAGATTCCTTGGCCGCCAGTTTGATTTCGTGCTTCGTTTTACACCGTATTTACACCGCTTTCTCTGCGTATCTCCTGGCTGCGCTTCCTGGTCGTGGCTGGGGTGGAAAAGGAAATAATGTGAGAGACGGTCTTTGCAACCCATTTCACACCCTCCGCTATCAGGAAGGGCTGGAAGTAGCATGAGGGAGCCCATTCTCACGCTATTTCCTGCCGCCGGCTGTTCTCCCGCGCCTGCCATTTCAGGGGAGGAGAAGGCACGGGGCTGTGCAGCGTCGCGTTCAGCACCAGCAGAGCCACTCCGATAGCTTGAAACTGTGCCAGGCTGCTCCAGGAGAGTTTTATGAGAAGTATTTTTTAAGATTTTTTTTTTTTTTTTAAATACTTATCAAAGAAAAGGGGAGAGTGCAGCTATTAGCCAGCTGCTGTGTG